ATTTTTGAATGATCATTTTAATTATTTGAATTATTTTTGAAATAATTATTTCAAATAATTGTAAATATTTGAAATTTTTGAATTATTCATGGTTGTTCTAGGGCAAGATTTTTAAAACTTTTGTGCTACTGATATTTTTGGTCCAGTGATTCTTTATTGTGGGAAGCTGTCCTGTGCACAGGGGGATGTTCGGCAGTAATCCTGGCCTCTTTCTAGTAGATATCGGTAGAGACATCTACTAGTTGTGACAAGCAAAAATGTTGTCCTTGGGAGGAAAGTCATTTTCAGTGGAGAATCATCACTCTAGGGATTACAAAATGCATCTTTTTTTTTTACCTGGTACCAGAGATTGAACTCAGGACCTTGTGCTTGTGAGGTGCAGGTATGGTGCCATTTAGCTAAATCCCTAGCCCTAAAATGTATCTTTGTTTATTACAATCTACACAATATTATTGCTAATTTAATTTCAGTATAATACAGAAATTTTGGTTCAATATAATTCCATTTTCTAATCCCTACTTTGTGTAATTATAGTGTATATAATTTATATATGTTCTAAACCTAATGCTTCAGTGTTATTATTATTGCTTTCTGTGGTACAGGGCTTTTGCACTGAGTTACATCCCCATCCCTTTTATTAATTTTATTATTATTTTAAATTTTGAGACAGAGTCTCTCTAAGTCACAAGGCTGCCTAGGCTGGGCTCAAACTTGAATCCTCCTGCCTCAGCCTCCTAGATTCACCACTTTATATTCTGTCTTTTATGGCATTGACAGAGGAAAAGTAAAAAATGTGTTTATAGAATCTTTCATATTATCCTACATATTTGCCACTTCTGGTAATCTTCACTTTTTCTAAATTTGAGTTATCAAAAATCCACAAGAAGAAACAGAGTATAGTGAAACTAGGGCCGACTCGTAGAGCAAGGCTGTTGTTATGTCTTGCTCCAACAGAGTATAATTCCTTAAGTTCATAGAGAAAAGACCTGTGGAGGAAGGATTTGAAGAGAAATTCGCTTTCAGAATTTGTCCTTAGGTGATCAGTCCTCAGGACTGGGCAGCTGCTGCCCATCTGTGAGATACAAGCAACAGCCTGATGAGGGTGATCGGGAACTGCAGTGTGCAGTGTGCCGTATTTGGGAGTCTGAGGGCTATGACGTGTTAGGAAGGTGCTGTGGGCTGGTTCTTTACAAAAGGTGGGATTTGGTTGGCTGGCTCCATGTGTGAGAGAGAATTGCAATTTCTTCCATTCCAGACCTGTCCTGTCTCCGCTGTCCTGAACTTAGGAGATGAAGCTCTTTGGATCGGTGAGCGCAAGGTCCAGACCTCACATTGAGTGTCCCCCAGGCCAGCACCCTGGAGCTCATGGTGTCCTGCTAGCTGGCACATGCACAGTAGGCATCTGTGGGCCCGAACTCTTCCATCCCAGAGGACATGTCTCCAATGCAGCGTGTTATTTCTCTTCTCCAACATATCTGAATCTCTTGGGCTCAGAGGCAGAAGACATGAGGAGAAAGGATTTTAAGAGAAACTGTGTCATTTGGACCTGCATAGGAATACTGATTCACTGATGATTCAAAGAATTTAGATGTATTTTCCAACATTTTTCAGGCTCAATTTGTTCATCTCAAAAATGGATATTTGATAATACCCAGTTTTCATGATTAAGGAGATGTTTTATATGCCTGGTTTTTAATAGCTGCTCTTGGTAGTATCATCATTCTACCTTTAGTTTATTTATAGACACAGTTCAGGTTTAGGATCTTCTTCATTACAAATGATGGTCAGATAGAAATGGAAAAGAAAATAGGAAGTGTGCTTTTTCTTGCCCTTTGTGATTCATCTTAGTGCTTGGCCAGGACGTTGAGACAGGAGTCAAAATAAGAGGGGCTAGGGCCGGGGGATTTAGCTCAGTGGTTCAGCTGCCTGCCTTGCAAGCCCAAGGTTCTAAGTTGGAGCCCCACTAACCAAAAAAAAAAGGAGGGGCTCAACTCTAGGTTCCTGATGGGGACCTTCCTGGAGAGCCAGTCATGAGAGGCCAGCAGTGGTGTCTATAGATACTTCCATGGTCAGGAATGGAGACGAACGGGGAGAAAGAAAGAGACGAAGTGGGCTTCCAGGGAAGGCTTTCATTTCCTTTGTTAACTCAGATAAGGTAAAGTCTATCTGGACTCCCCTGAGCTTGCTGTGCTTTTGATTGGTTCGTCCTTCTTCTTACCTACCTCTTTGCTTCTCAGTGGGGGAGAAACAGATTGAGGAATAGGGGAAAGGAGTAATATTTTAATGACTACCTACTAAATATCAGACACTGTGCAAATATCTTCTAAATATGATCTCTTTTAATCTTCATAACAGCCCTTTGAGGAAGCTGTCATTTTCTCCATTCTTTGGGTAGGAAACTGATGGTCAGAGATTTCCAAGCCAGGCCCAAGGATGACAAATACATAGTAGGCCTGTCTGACCTGGAGATTCCTGCTTTTCCTATGACCCCTGGTACCTTCTTTTCTTTGTATATCTCAAACTGACTTTGGCTGTGCTTTTCTGAGTTATCAGGTTCAGTCATTCTGTCCTTTGGTATCATAACTATACTCATGTTCACAAAAAATAGAATTGATTGGGATCCATTCTTATTTGCTCCTTACTCCACAATTATGACTGGGGATCATAATCTGATCTGTAGTGATTGTTCTTCCCACAGTTACCATTGTTTGTTATCTTATTTCTTAAAAATGTGTACTTCTTGTACCATTACAGAACAAATTAAACTGTGAAGGGTTTTGTAGTTTGTATGGCTGGGTTCATGTTAACTGTGAGGATTTTCAGTTGTATTGCACTTTGGATGATCACATTTATTTTTTCCTCTGAGGACAATGAAGCCTTCTTTGTATGGTTTATAGGACAGGTAACTGTGGTGTTAGAGGGAAATGGGTAATGTGCTCTCCTTGTTACTGTATTTCTGAGAGAAAGCATCTGGTAAGAGTCAAATACAAGCTAAAGGGAAGTGTAGAATCTTTCAGATGTGGAAGGGTCCTCTGAACTCATCACATTCAATTGTTTTTTTTAATTAAAATGTGACTTTTCTCTCATCTTTATTCTGGAGAGGAGGAATCCTCCTTGTCTTCATCGTTGAAGGAGCAGGGAGTCTCCCTCGGGATTCAGAGCCGTGAGAGGCTGTGTTGCTGGACTGGTGACTGTTTGGGGCTGGGAACTAACTGCCTGGTTGCTAAGGCCGCTTCAGCATCCAAGCATAACCCTTGGTTTACACTTGATTGGGGTAAGGTTGCACCGGTGGTCAGATCTAAATTTGATGCTGATTGGACAGAGTTCAAAAGTAGACCCCAATTTAACCAAGAAGATATCTGTGATGTCACTTTCTAAAGCCTTTGGCACCAGCAATCTAGCCGGTTTCAGGTCTTCCAGAGAGCATTTGCCTAACTCCAGGCCAAAGGACATTCTCATCTGCTTCAGTACTTCTATGTCATTGTGGATCTCAAAGGCGTTGTCAAAATTAAAGAGATACTCAAACTTGTCACTGGAGATGCTGCAAACTGTCACTGTTTTTTTCTGCTCTTATTGATGATTATAAACAGCCACCATTCAGTGGCATTCAGTGCTGGAGGGCCCTGGTTTTGCTGTTCGTTTTGTCGATTTCTCTGTATCAGGTTTTTGAAAGCAGTTTGCTGTAGGAGAAGTTCTTGCAGCTGGGCCTGCTTCTGCTTTATCTGTTCTATCTGCCTCTGCTTCTCTATCTCCAGGTTTTGACATTCCTGAGCAGAATTGGTAGGCAGATTTCTTTTTTCTCCTTTGAAATTATGTTCATTGCCATAAGCACATTTAAAGCGTCATAAACTCTTCTTCTAATGTTCTTCTGATCATAAGCCGGCGAATCAGCCACCAAATGATTATTTGAATTGGTGAACTCTGATACCAGTTGATCAGCTGCTTCATTATATGATGTTCCTTTCCTCTGAACCACATTCCATTTTTTTAATGGAGGAAAGAACCTGACATTTTATTGAAAAGAGAAATCAAAGATCCTCCTATTTATTTTAAATAAGGGCTTAGAAGTGACTTATCTAAAGCCATAAAACTAATAAATGGTGATGCTAGAACAGCCTGTCTTTGCTTTACCACTCTAACTTAGAAAAAAATGTGATGGAATTCATTGAACCTTTACTTGCCAAAGATGACAGCCAAAGTAGGATATCTTACTGATGTTTCTTACATTTCTTTCTATGCTAAAATAAAATTGGGGGAAAAACGGAAAGTAGAGCTCACAGAGGAGATTACTGTAAGGGGTACTTCTCTGTTATCCTCCAGAAGGAAATTTGTGCCACATGAATGATTCAGAACTCAGAAGGGTGAATATTCAACTCATCCAAGTGGGTCTGTATTGGACTATAATTGTTACATTCTGTGCAATTGCATCGTTTTAAGTTCCATTACTATGAAAGAAGTCAGCTGTCAATATAAGGGTTGTTCCACTTAGAAATAATCTGACTTTTCATTCTGGTGGGTTTTTAAAAAAAAAGATATTCCTTTATATTTGATGCTTTGAAGTTTGAATACAATATGTTTTGATGCAATTTTTCTTTTGTTCATTTTATTCCAGTCAACCTGGAACCACTTTAAACTAAATTTAAAAAATTTTTATTAATTCACATTTTCAGCACATGCAGTTCGCAATCACCTCCATGGATAATATAAATTCAGCTCTGAATTCATAGGAGAAAAGGCTCGATTTTTAGTGAGATCTCAAATCCACCCTGTTCTGCCTCCAAGCTTGCTTTCTTATATTCACATGCTCATGTGGCCCAGTAAAACCCATCCCTAAACCCACAGTGATTGCCAGGTGCTCCAGAGAAAAGGCCAGCTTCAATACTTAGCTCTCTGCACTTGTGCTTTTGTACTGTTTCTGATCTCTGAGTATTTCTTTCACTCAGTTCAGTGACATCAGTGAAGAGACTGAAAAAACTGTTTTATTAGCATTTTAGGTGGTCTGTCACTAGGAGTCATTTTCTTTGACAACCAAGCCTGTCATATTGCTGGAAGTGAGTCACACTATTCAATCATCAGCACAGCCCGACTTGTTAGTTTGGTTTCACTCGGGTGACAGCTGTGAAGAGCTCACAATCTACTGAAGGAGGCGGATGTTAAACCGTTGTACACAACACACTGCTCGGGGATATGGTGATCCTTTGCTCTGCACAAATAGAAGTACAGAGGGAGAGGCGGAAAGGTCAGAGAAGTTGTCTTAGAATAACTGAGCTGGATTCTGAAGGGAAAGGATAGGGAGACAAAGGAAAGATTACAAGGAGTTGAACCAGTGAAGGCCTGAGGATATGAAACAGCACTCTTCTTCCACTTCTACAGCTAGAGAGACTTGACCATCCCAGCCCCTGGCCCCATTCCCAATCCTGTTCAAGGAGGCAAGGGCAATAGCTTAGCATATCAGCAACCTTATACCCCCGTTTTGCTAACCTTGAGCCTCTGTTACTATAATTAGCCTGGGCACAGAGCCAGTCCTCACCTGGGTTTCTTGTTTCCTATATCTGCTCTCCCCTAGGGCTTATCTGACCCTCTGGGGTTTAAGTCCTGCCAAGTTCTCACTAGTTCCCCTAGGCATGGAACCACTCCTGACTATTACCTAGCTCTCTCCCTCTATTTTCTGCCAAGCATTATGCCAGGCACGTTCCATAATTTGTTCTCATTTCCTGTCCTCCCATACACTGCGAGAGAGATTGGCTTGGGTATCATATAAACTAATATCCAAGATGAACTTCTCCTCAGCTCTGAGAGGGACTCTTTTCTCCTCAGTAGGCCCCAGTCATACTTGTTCTGAGGGAACTTGTGATGGCAGTGGACAGGCTCGAGAAGACTGGTACCCAGTACCTCCTTCTCCTTGCCCCTTGATATTAAATGTCCTCCAAGGGCTCCCAGAAAACAGGACGCTGGAGCTCTAGCCTCTTTGGCATCATGAAGAAAGAAAAATAACAATCCCTCCATTACCCAGGTGTGGTGGTGCATACCTGTAATCCCAGCACTCTTGGAGGCTGAAGCAAGAGGATTGAAAGTTGTTTTGTGCTCCTGCTGTGGTGAACGACAATTTTGGCAACTCCGATGCCCAAGCCAGGAAATATTACATCATCTTTGCCTTCTTGCCCACAAGTCCTATCTTGGTCCATCTCTGCTCTGAGGGCCACTTCCTCACCACCACTCATGCAGTCGGAGTCCTTGTCTCAGTGGTCCCGCTGTCTTTTAAAATTAGCTAAGAGTGACCACTTTCAAACTTCAGCGCTCAAATTGTGGCCCTCTAACTGTCTTCAATGGCACTGCAAGGAACGCATTAAAATGCAGGCTCAGAGGCCCGCCCAGACCTACTGAATCAGAATCTACATTTCACAAAATGCCGGTAATGCCAGTACATTAAAGTTTGAGAACCATAGCACTAAACTAAATATTTAATTATATATTTCTTTTAAAAATCACTTTAAGGCTCCCTTCTGCCCTCGGGAAAATTTACCACTTTAGAATGACTGCACAAAGCCCTTTAGGATCTAGTCCCTTAGTAACAGTGGAGTTCTTCTCTCTATGCCCTGCATCTGGTCCCTGAGCAGTGGTCACACTGAACTATTCTCAGTTCTCTGACAGACTGACCTTTGTATCTCATCCCCAGGACTTTGCACATAGTTTTCCCTTTGCTGTTTGAATACAAACAGCCTTTGTCTGAGACATTTCTTCCTAAAGGAAACCTCTGACCTACAGCATCTGACCTAAGTTTCCCTTCTACATGCTATCATGGTATCCTGTACTTCTTTAGCTTGTTAACTCATTTATGGTTGTTGTTATTATTATTACTGTTATTATTTGCCTTATTGATAATTATTTATGCAGCACTTGTTTATTTTCCCTGGGATGCAAGCTGCAGGGAATACCTTGGTTTTAGATGCTGTTTTCATATCCATCTTCCCACATAGACTGAAAGCTTAATATGGACCAAAATCATGTTCATTTATTCACTTGTGAAGCCCCAGAATCTAGCATTATCTTGGAACAAAATGAAATGGAATAAAATTTTGTTAGGTACAAAAACCAAACAAAACAAAAACAAACGAACAAAAACCACTAAGAGCCAGGGATTTAGCTCAGTGGTTCCAGCACCTGCCTCACAAGCACAAGGACAGAGTTCAATCCCCGGTACAAAAAAAAAAAATTTTTTTTTGTTAGGTGGATGGTGAAATCAGCCACACTGATGAAGAATGTGGGGTGTAAAGGAGCTGCAGTACTTGGTAAACCAACGGGCTCTCTTGGCTTTTGAGCAGTCCTGTGTATGTGCAATTTCTCAGTTGGGTGGGTGTTGAGTAAACTTTTATTGCCTTTGCTCTGAGAGTGTTCAAACAGGTCTAGTCTTAGTCTTTTGAAGATTGGAGAATGGAGGAAATGGACACTATTACCTCACCCTAAAGATGCAGAAAGTGAGATTCAGAACTATTAAGCAGTGTGCCAAGGGTTATAATATCAGAGCTAGAACTTCAACCAGGAGTGGCTGACTCCAAAGCTGGGATTCTTCACAGTCAGGAACTGAGAAAAGATTGGGATTGGCCATTTTTATTCTGATTAAACAAATGAGCGAATCTATCCATCAATCCATACTTCTGCTAATTATTTTTAGCATATCATGTATTTCACATTCAAAAGGCAATGTCTAACATTCTCTCTTGAACAGTCCTGCCTGGGCTTTTCCACCCACCCCAGACTCCCAAAAGAAACTTTCCTTTTGTTCCTGCAGCATAGCATCTGAGGTCTCTTTGCTTGTCTATAGAATGCCAAATCCAGAAGAGACCTCAATAGATGTACATTGATACCATTTATTCTTTTAACCCAAGGCTCAGAGAAACAGAGTAACTTGCCCAAGAAGCCACTACAAATATATGGCAGAGCTGAGACTCAAACCTCTGTCATTGAGTGTCAGTTCAGAGCGCTGTACCTTGGGCTTTGTATAAAGTATGCAGTAGGTGTTCAGTTAATGCTTGTTGATGGTCTTATGATTGCTGCTTACTGCAAGGAGTTCTTGCAGTGTATGCGATGACTCAGGGCTCAGTCATAGGCAATTCCCTTGTGACTTTGAGAAGCATAAAGAGAAGTGCATGTCTTGAACTGTGATTATCTGTTCAAATTCTTACAATTAGTGTCAAAGATAATAACGCAATTGTTACTATTAAATGTAAATGTGAATAGTCTGGAGATGCCTTGCAGCTGTCTGTTAATTTTGAATAGATATCCTCTGGTTGAGAGCTTACCTTATAATTTTTGTGCATGTACACATGCGTGTGTGTGTGCATGTACATGCATGTGTGTTTGAAAGTAACATTTAGATACTTACGGCAATGTGTTTCCATTTGTTTCAGAATTTTCTACCTTTGTTGACTTCAAGATGTAAAAGAGGGAGACATGTCCACAGAATGGGAATGGTCAGCTTGATGATGTGGAGAAAATAATTGAGATAACATGAGGACTGGAGTCAGATACTCCACTCTCCACTTTGACAAATTTCTAAGCATTTAAAATTTGTAAAATGGGCTTGGTAACATCTATCTCAGAGGTTCCATAAGCTGATAAGTGGACATGTGGCACATGGTGCCTGGAACATTGAAAGTGACTTAGGTAATAAACTGTGGACTAGTAATTGGTGAGGGTAACTGGTAGGGGTTTGTGGACAATTTTGTGGTCAGTCACTGGGTGTCCAGCTATGTTCAAAGGGGTGAGTGGTTGAAGCTTGGCGCTTGTGTCCTGGAATAGACTCTGCCCAGGCATCTGGATTGTCAGCATATGAAGGCTTCTCAGCTGATGGCAGAGCAAGGGGCCTTTTCATCTCTGGAGAGCACTCTTCCAGGACCCAATTTTGGGGATAGGTGGGCAGAGGCAGAGGCTTAAGACTCTATTATACCAAAGGATAAAATGGGGGAAGCTACTAGAAGTGGGTCCATGTAGGGATTTGTTCTTACAGAAGCACAGAAGCCCTAGGAATAGAACCATGGTCAATGCCAAGTGCTGATGGTTAAGTCCAGAATGCTAGGCTGGATAAAGTCTCACACATACTTGCAAATTAAACAAGGAGCTCCTTCAGGAAAAATATTTGTGATGGTTATGAGAGCAGGGACAAGGGCTGGACTGCCTCCATCTGTATCCTGATTCTGCCATCTACTGGGTGTGTGATCTTGGGAAAAATATGCAACCTCTCTGTACTTCAACTTCTTCTATGAAATAGGAATGATAATAATACCACTTGCCTTATAGTTTCTTTGGAGGATTAAATGAATTAATTTGTATAAAATACTCACATCAATGTTTGGCACCGACAGTGCTTAATTAGTATTTGTAGGATCTTGTTTGTTCCAAGTCCTGTTCTCAGATCTGGGAATGTGGTAGGACACCAACTAAAGCATCTTCTTTCAGGGAGCTGACATTCTAGTGGGGGTGGGAAAGAAAGAGAAGCCATACATGTACTGTCAAGCGGTGGAATGTGAGGCAGGCTAAGCAGAGAGAAAGGGTTGGGGAAGCTTTTTTTATGTTTTATCTTCTTTTTTTCTTTAAAAGATATACATTTTATTTGCTATAACTAAAATTAAAATGGATCAAAGAAATAATTTCAAAACAGAAATACAACCTGCTGGAAGAAAAGATAAAATTTGAAGTAACAGGTGCAGGCAAAGACTTTCTGAACAGATCCTTGATTACACAGGAAATATTTCTGAGACAACAACCAGGATCATATCAAATTAAAAAGGTTTTGCAGAAAATCAGACCCCCCCAATTTAAAGACCCTATCCAAGGGGCTGGGGATTTATCTCAATGGTTCCGCTGCCTGCCTCACAAGCTCAAAATCCCAAGTTTGATCCCCAGTACCAAAGGAAAATAAAGACACAATCCAAATAAGAGCATCTGAAAGTGAATAGACACTTCTCAGATGAAGAAGCATAAATGGTAAATAAATATGAAAAAATGTTCAACATCACGGGTCATTCAAGAGATGCAAATTAAAACACACTGAGATTCCACCTCACTCCAGAAAGAACAACTGCTATCAAGAAATCAACCAATAACAAATGTTGGAGATGCTGTGGAGAAAAAGGAACCTTCTCCACTGTTGGTGGGAGTGTAGACTCTTGCAACCACTGTGGAAATCAGTGTGGAGACTCCTCAAAAACCTAAAACTACAGCCTCCATTTGACCCAGCTACTCCCCTTCTGGGTATCTTCCTGCAAGAATTAAAGTTCATATCATATCGATGTATGCACACCCATGTTTATAGCAGCACAATTTGTAATAGTTAAATCTTGGAAATGACCCAAATATTATATATATATTGGAGTATTACTCTGACATAAAGAAGGATAAACCTGAGACATTTCTAGGTAAATGGGTGAGCTTTGAGACCATAGTTAAGTGAAATAAATTGGATGCATATGTCTTAAAATCACATTGTTTCTCTGGTGTGAGAAACCAGAAGGTTAGATATGGACCAAAATGTATAATAGATATTGGGAAATGGGAAGAATATATATATTGGAGTATTACTCTGACATAAAGAAGGATAAACCTGAGACATTTCTAGGTAAATGGGTGAGCTTTGAGACCATAGTTAAGTGAAATAAATTGGATGCATATGTCTTAAAATCACATTGTTTCTCTGGTGTGAGAAACCAGAAGGTTAGATATGGACCAAAATGTATAATAGATATTGGGAAATGGGAAGAAAATATTCAAATGGGAAGGGGAACAAGGGAGGGGAGGGGTAAAGGAAGCAAGCGAAAAGAAAAAAGAAAAGACAATAGAAGAGGGGGAATGAAAACAAAGCTTTTGTAAATAAGGAGGAGAAAAGGGGTTGAAATGAAGGGAGGCAATTGGGGGAAAAAGAATTGAACTATTATGTGCAGGTACAAATTCTCTATGATGAATGTGATCGCTATGGATACATAAAACATACCAACAAAATTAATTTTTAAGGAAAGAACCTACCGAGTGAAAAGATAACCTACAGAGTGGGAAAAAAATTTTGTCACCTCTTCCTCAGAGAATTCATAAAGACCCAATCAAAAAATGGGCAAACACAATGAATAGATACTTTACAGAAGAAGTACAAATGGGCAATAAATACATGAAGAAATGCTCAACATCACTGGGCATTTCAGAAATGCAAATTAAAACAACACTGACATTCTATCTTACCCTAGAATGAATGGCATTGTGAAGAAATCAAACAGTAACAAATGTTGGCAAGGCTGTTTTTGATAAGAGGTCAAGGAAAGCTGCTTTGATGAGGAGACTTGAGAAGAGACATGGGTTCCAGAGCATGAGGAAATTGGGGTGGAAGATTTCCAGGCTGAGGAAGGAACAGTTGGATGCTGGGTGGTGGGAGCATGCTTGGTCAGTAGGGAGGCTGGTGTGGCAGGAGTGGGGTGAGCCATCATCAGATAGCAGGGGCCGGGAGGAGTAGTGGACCAAGCCCACAGAGGCCCCAGGTTGTGGCAGACCACAGGCTGTAAGCAATGCAGGCTGCAAAGAGTTACCCCGTGACTGGCTTATTTTAAGAAGTGACTCCCACCAAAGCCTACATGACTCATAGGAGCATTGTGGGTAGCATACAGGTTAGCACAACCTCTCTGCCAAGGGCCACAGCAGAGACCAGAGAGACTGCCTATGAAGCTGCAGGACTCAATGTGAAATAATGTAGTAGCCAAGGTTGGAGTGATTTGCACGCAAATTCTGTTCCCAAAATTAAAACCTTTTTTTTTTTTTTTTTTTTTACTAAAAATACAAGGTTAATTATTAACCACAACCTACATTTTATCTGTTCTGTTCCTAATTTCAAGAATGCTGTGTCTCTTCCTTTACAAGCCTTGCGTGCGTCAGCACCATATCCATAGCAACTCCACGTAGCCCCTTTACCTCAATCCAACTATGATGTCACCAATAAATATCAGTGGCTTTGGCTTTCCAGAGTCTTTTGCTGCTTGCTCAGCATTGGCCATCCTGTATCCCTGTATCTGTCTCTTTAATTCTGTCTCTGTCTTTCTTACCTTGCCTGGTAGCACCGAGCATCAGATTGGGATCTGCTGCAGGGGTCTCGGATACCAAATAAGCCACAATATGGGTTTTTGTTACTGGAATGCCCACGGGGGTAGGTAGGCTATAGAGAGAGCTGTAGTATTTCACAGTCTCTCTGGTTGCTGGTTGGAGAATAAACAGGTGGGGTGGGGTAAGGAGAATGAGGAGCAACTTTTGATGCCATTGTGATAGTACAGGCCAGAGGGGGCTGTGGAGTGTCAGAAATAATATCCACTTGTATTTTGAAGGTAGAACAGATGTGGACTTGTGGGAGAAGTTCAAGCCTGGCTGGGTCAGGTGCGCTGCACTCCTGTCTCCCGAGCTACCTCGGAGACCTTGCTAAGGCTGAGCTAATTCGCTTAAGTGAGTAGATGCTGGGTCCAACAGGCTACACTTCCGCCCCTAGTCTCTGACTCCTTTGCCTCACCCAAGAAAAATCACTCCGCCATGTCTGGCCAATAAGATATCGCCAAACGTTAAATGTTCTGCCCATGCTCCGCCCCCCTGGTTCCCTATATAAGCCTGTGATTTCCTGAATAAAGCGGAAGCGTTCTAGAAATCTCCCTGGAGTCTCTCAGGTGGTTCCACCCCTGGCCTTCGCAGTCTGAGCTCCCGCACCTTGTTTAGTGAGCAGGCTCACGGATGACAACAGCTGGTGCCCAAACATAGGGCTCGCGTATGCTGGGTAAATATTGAAGCTGCGGGTAAGGGTCTCTGTTATGGGTAATCTGTTAAGTCAAGAACGGCCGGTACAGGCCGCCTCAGTAAAGGGTCCTCATGCCATAGAGGCATCTGAGACATTTCCAGCCCAAACTCAGGCGAGTGTAGGGCCCCCTATGCACTCTAAAGATGGTGGACAAAAGCCTCTTTAAAAAGATGGCGCGGGCGGGCTGTCTCTTCCGCTTTCTTCTTTCCCAAAGGCGTCAGCCCCACCCACTGGTCTCATTTCCTGTCTATGTCGGTGCCCCCGCCAAAGCCCCCTAGTCACTGGAATAATGGTCATCCAGATGGCGGCCTCCACCTGTGCACCGCCATCTTACAGGTGCCGTGGATCTTCTTCCTCCTCCGACTCTTGTGGTGGGTGTGCTGGGGCTCGGTAGGGGCCGGGGGCGGTTGGGGAGGTGGCTGGTGCAGGTGCAGCTGTTCCAGGTCAGAGGTGAGAGACGCCCCCAGTAGCCCGGCTGGCAGCGGGTGCAGACACAGGAAGGCCGCCGAGGGCAGCGAAGGCGACTGGGGGAAGTCCAGGTTGCCCAGGGCATCCTCGCTGTCCAGGTCTGGTCAGCCTGCCGGGCGCTCACAGCAGGCTTGCCGGGATCTGCAGAACCTCAGCTCCTCCAGGATTTGAGATCCCAGGACCCGGAGCGATGGCCTTGCGAGTTGCCTCGTCTGTGTTCATCACCCTGGCGCCACAAGGTGGCTGTGACAGGAAGTGTGGCCTGGCATGGCCGTCCCTGGGAGGCCTCCCTCTTACCCTAGACCCTGGCAGGGTTGCAGCCGCAGTCCCCACTGCACCTACTCTGTGCAGCTCTCACTGTGAATTCAGCACGGGCTGGTCCTTCTGCCTCCCCAAATCCGCAGGTATGGGCTGTGGTACCTAACTCCCCATCTATCTTTGTTACCGTAGGTTGGCCTGTTATCTCTCCTCCCTTCAGCGCTTGTCAGCCTTCCCCTTTCATGTTTGTTTCCTATATCCCACAGCCATAGCAGGGTCAGCTACCCAGACCTTTGGGAATGAGTCTCGATTTGTGGGCCTCAAGCCAACCAATATCACTCTAATTTTGCTTGATCCCTTGTATAAACCTCCTTTTGTTTAACCATTCCTCTGTTTGGTGTCTGTATTTAGCTAGAACGCCTCCTGCTATTTGGCTTCCTGTAAATCTTACAAAAGATTGGCAGAATTCAGATCTGCTCTTTAACCTTATGCTTCATCCTCACAGTAGATATGATTTGGGAATCTTTGCCATTGCCGCCAACCACCTGACAAAAATACCACACAGGCCTTCGGAGCAACCGTCCTACCCTTTCAAGATGTACGTGCTGCCATTTTAAATTTACAAACCCAGATAAATCTTGTCTGGGAAAAAATTCAATTATTACAGACTAAGATTCTAAGCCATTGTCATGCAAATTTCACCCATATTTGTGTTACTCCATATCGTTGTCAACATTGTAATGATTATAAAAACTGTCAAATTGTATATGAAAAACCTGGGATCCCACATACAATTGACATTTACAAACCTTGACTCACATTATTGTTCAGTTAAACAATACACAGCTTCTTGATGTTGTTACTCTTAATAATATACGAGAGAGAATCTGGTTTGGCATTTAAGCTGGGTGGAAAAACCTAATTTCCTGGGCTAAAGGATTGATATTGTCATCACTCTATATGTTGACCCTGCTTGAAATTATTTTATTGCTCTTTATCTTAAAAAGCACACGCCTAGCCTGTAAAAGATATAAACAAACTCATAAAAAATGTGGTTCTCTTGCTCGAGTCTCTGGAGTCAAAGACAAAGGGGGGAATTGTGGGAGAAGTTCAAGCCTGGCTGGGCCAGGTGTGCTGCACTCTTGTCTGCTGAGCTAACTTGCCTAAGTGCATAGATGCTGAGTCCAACAGGCTATACCTCCGCCCCTAGTCCATGGTTCCTTTGCCTTACCCCAGAAAAATCACTCCGCCATGTCTGGCCAATAAGATATCTCCAGACATTAAATGTTCCTCCCATGCTCCACCCCCATGGTTCCCTATATAAGCCTGTGCATTTCCGGAACCATTCCAGAAACCTCCCTGGAGTCTGCCTGGTGATTCCATGCCTTGCCCTCCCAGTCCGAGCTCCCAAACTTGTTCCCTGAGCGAGCTCGTGAATGACGACATGGACTAAGAAGGAGAGAGAAGTCAAGGATGACCCCAACACTTTTGGTGTGAGCAGCTAGGAATATAGAGTTGCCATTTTGAAATGAAGACTGAAGAAGCTGAGACCTTGTCTTAGCCTTTTGTTATGGATGTGCCATGCTTGAGATGCCTATGACTCTTCTAATGGCAATAGCCAGGAAGCTGTTCTGGCAAGACTGGAAGTGGACAAGTAACAGGTGTCACTAGTGTGGGTATGGTGCATGGTAGGGCTGTAAATGGGCAAGGTCATTCAGGAGGACAGCACTGGGGACCCTAACATCTGAAGCCAGAAAGAGAAGGATGATCCTCAAGGAAGGCTGGGAAGGGAACACCTTGCTCTAGGAGGTAGGAGGAAGATCAGGGGCGTGTAGAGTGAGCATCTCCGGAAGGAGGTTGTGGTCACAGTATCACTGCTGTTTAAGAGGTGAGGATTGAGATTCAGCCTTAGATTTTCAAGCACAGGTTCACTGACTTTTCTGAGGTAGCATCAGTGGAGCTGTGGAGCTGAAAACAATTAGGGCAGATTCAAAAGAGAAGAGGCGGAAGGGAAGCAGCAATCGTAACTGGTTACAGCTGAAGAGTTTTGCTATAAGAGGGGAGCAGAGAGATGGAGTAGAATGTGCAGTCAAGTGAGAGTGGACTTTCTTCTTTGATGGAAGAAATAAATTTGTGTCATGTTGGGTAAGATCCAGTAGAGAGGAAGGAAACTGACAAGCAGGAGACAGGAAATGTCTCCTGAGCCAGGGCTCAAGTAGGCAGCAGGGGTTGGCATTGTGTGACATAGGGAGGGAACAGCCTAGGATCACAGCTCCTGCCCAACATAAGAGCCCTGGGTGCTCACTGGTTGTTTCCTGGGAAAGTAGTGGTTTGGGCAGAGACCTGTGGGAATGTTGAAAGACTCATTCCATGGACTGAAGCTAAGTGCTTTTCCTTTTTTTCAGACTTAGAAGCAAAGCAAATCAATGAACTTATTATCAGAAAGTAGACAGGGCAGCCACGAACAGTAACAAGCAATTCTTGGCTTCCAAATCATGCAGTTGTCCATCAGTAGCTCAGCACTCAGGTAGCAGCAGTGTGTCGACTATGTTTCAGTTTTTAAAAAAAGAGAAACCATCAGGAAAATGAGTCAGGTGGAAGTCCACCATTGAGCTTTTAAATATGCCCTGGGTAACTCTAATAAGAGTGAAATTTGGGGGGCCAGGGATTTGGCTCAGTGGCACTGCCTTCCTCACAAGGGCAAGATCATGAATTCAATACCTGGTACCAAAAACCAAAAAAAAAAAGTTGAATTTGGGGCTACTTTTTATCAGCATTGTCAGGAACTGATGATCTCAAAGGATGGCCCTTTAAATAAAATACAACTTCCTGTGGCTTCTAGGTGACGGTCTTGCTTTTTTGTCCCAAGGCAGTTGCTTTCCTCAGGACTCTATAGTGGTAGGAAGGAGTCTCCGCTTTGCAGCTGTAATGATTCATAACTGAAATCTGGCTGGAACAGCTATGGCATCATCCTCAAGCAGAAGTTTGGGGATGCTCCTGTTGCTGGCAGTGTCTCTTGACTATTTCTGACATTTACTACTGTTTGGTGTTGGTTTTGCTTTTTTTTTTTTTCCTCCCTCTCACTAAAGCCCAAGCTTTCCTTTTTGTCTTTTTGTTTTTCAGCCCAAGTGATTGCCTGGATTGGTGTCTTTGACTCTTGGGTCCTTGGTTCAAGAAGTCTTGTCTCTGATGTTCCAAGCTATATCTTGTTCCCTACACTTGAGTCTGTCTGTTCTTCCTTTAGTCTTGCCTGATGTTAAGCTTTTTGTTGCTAACCCTATGCTCTGATTGGCAGACCAACAGAGGAGTAGTTCCCTGGATCCTACCTGAGCTCTGAGGA